GGTGCGAGTGGAAGACCTGGATGTGTCCTGAAACTTTTACTCTGCTTTCTGTAAAAGGGCACCGAGCGCTTTGATTCAGAACAGTAAAAGCAATATGAGATGAATCAAGGACATAGGGATACAACGGTTGTGACTTGTTTTCACTCTGCCACACCTGCAGATTGCTTGGAGGTCAGCTGCCATTTTGCGAGGCAGGGTGGAAATGGCACTTGGCAGAGAAGACCACACTCTGCCCTCCCTCTGCAGAGCTTTATTTCTTCTTGGTTTCTCATTTCCTTTCAGCTAAGGTAGACATCCATCAGGCTGAAAGGGCTAAACATGGTGGGAGAAATACAGCCAGCTCTGCAGAGGAAGGAGGCCATAAAAGTGCAAATGATGATTATCTCAGGTTCCATTAAAGTCAACGGGAGCTTTGCATTGACTTCAGTGGAGCTGCATTATGCCCCTTAGATCTCAGAGTACTCATTCCTTTCCTGGATCCTGGTCAGAAATTCACCAAAGTCCACAAAAAGACTCCTGGGGATTGTAATGGTTTTGGTTCAGGCCCTTTTCTTTTCTTAGCCAGAAAGAGGATTGGAGATTGAGAAAGAAATATCGGGTGCTTAGCTAGATTTCTCCCACCGCTCTTCTCTACTGTGGGATCTCAGCACCCCCCTTCCAAACACAGACAAATCCCTGTAGATCACATGTGCTTACTAGGACCTAAAAATCTCACCTGGAAAGGTATCTTATACTGTCGGCATTCCCGTTATCCCCCATGCTTGGAGCAACCGGATCTTCCATCTGGCTCAGTTGTGTAATTTTCTGAAGTTTCTTAATGACAGGATGCAATTCTAAAGTGGATTCTTCTGCAAAAGCCTAATGAGTAATTTGGGGGGCTCATAAATGGGCCATATATATGATCTGAAAGCTTCACTGAAGTTCTGTGGAGACAGATAATATCCTAGCTGAGCCTGGTTTGCAAAGGCTTCTTTCATAGCCTGGACCTGGGTTCCTGTTTCATTCTTCTTGATAACAAAGGATAGCTTTCCTAAAACAGAGACACAAGACATTTTAGTATACAATACTGTCAAGCTCTTCTTTTGCTTTTAGTTACCTGTTGGCACCCAGACAATATTGCAATAAGTGATTTAAAAATAGGCTAGATACTACATTCGGGGGTGTGGGAAGGAGGCAAAGAGGGATGGATGGATAAACACATTTTTCCTCCAAGTACTCATCCAGCTATCTGAAGAGTAGTTTCCAGGAATTTCTTCTACAGTTACCATTGACCGTGTGTTAACAACACAAGTCTAATTCACCGGTAATGACTCCAGGGTACGTTAGAAGTCAGGATTCCTGGTTTTCGTGCCCAGATCTGCCACTGGGCTGAGTACAGCAATATTTAGCCATTTATCTATTTTGGGAATGCCAGGAGGTTTAATAGTTAACCAACTGTGAATTGCTGTGTGATCCATGCATGACAGGCATTCTGCAAGGAGAGGGCATTATCTAGTTACCACAAATTAAATTCCTAGCCCTTTTTTAAGGTCAACAGGAACCCCAATACCTGGTAGCAGTTTGTCCCAAACTATATCTATTTCAGTGAGATTCTCCTTATGACTCCCCCAGTTTTGCATCATGAAGACAGTTCAACAGCCCCTTTTTCCAGCTCATAGCTAACAGAAAATAAACCACAGCACCAGTCTCCTCTCAAACAGCTTTGGGCTTCCTGTGCCATTGGACTTCAGCCTCCACTCAAGCCCCAGCACATACCCTTTTCACTGCCTTCACCCTAAATTATGTTTCTCGCTAATATTATTTCAAACCCTGCCCTGACATCCAGGTAAGCTATATCCTTTGGCTTTCCTCAGGCCTATTTGTGCCACATCCTCAAAAGCCTCATTTCTGAAGAGGTTTCAAATGCCTTGTCTGCTTTCCGCCAACTTTGCTTAACATTTTTTGGAGGGCTCAAACGTGGAGCTGCAGTTTTCTGGAGCTTTTGATATCTTAATTCCTCCATCAATATTTCTTCTCTATCTATCAGAAAATTTATGTCACCTCCTGGCATCTGCTCCTCCACCTGCCTTTGTGAACATTGAGGTATAACAGTCTTTAATTTTTTTTTAAGCAATGTCTATCAATAAATAGCTCTTGTCAGCTCTTAGGGCCCTGCTGTCTTCCCTTTGCTGACCTCTTGCTCCTTTCACACGTGCAACATTTCTTATTATTTATTATAACCTCTTCTTTCATTTCCCAACCTTGCTTGTCTTATCACTCCATTATGCTCTCAACTTCACTCTCTCCCTGCAGGTCCTGGCCTGAATGTTGGTACTTCCTTTTTTCTCCCCACTGGCGGCCTTTTATACCCGGTTCATTTATTGTACTATAATCCCTGTGTGTTGCCACTCAGACATTGCTCTATACATGCTTGCCATTTTCCTTTGGTATACCTGGCTTTATTTGCTTTCAAAGCTCCACTTGATTCTTCCGAAATCACTGCTCCTAAAATTCAACGGCTCTCAATTTTTTTTCCCTGGGCTCCTGCTCATTTTTTGATGACAGGTACGCATAGACTGTGGTCAATCCAATACCTGTAGTCAACATGAAGTATCATCAGATATGAAATCCATAACCATTACAGCTTCTAAAGTCCATTAACAGCCTAAGAACCTTTCTTGGGCAAAATTTCCATCTGCTTCAGTGGAATCACACCAGGAAATATTCTGGATCAGTGAGTTTGCAACAGTATATCCTAGCAAAAAAAAATTGAATTTTTTTCTAGAGGAAATTCCTAATTACATTTTGTTCTTTATAAAAGCATTTTAAAGACTTCTGGTTCTTCATCATGTTCCTTCTTCGCGCTCAGTGGCCATGTGGCCGGTCACCTGCTTACTGCCTGCCCTGGCTGCAATGCTTATCCATAATGAATCCTTCACATCTCTCGGCTGTTGGATAGGGATGTCCACCTTATTCTCATGAAAGTAAATTTTGCAAAAATTTCTATGCTTATAGACCTAGTAGAAAATATCCGTTCTAACGGGGACCCCTTTTAACTGCCCCACATTTCTTCTACGTTTTTGTGTCACTGATATTAATAGATTTCCCTGGTTATCCCTCCCCATAGATATTCAGAGTTCATGTGGTTTAGTAGCACTGCCTTGGACACTTCATGGGACATGGGAACCAATAAAAAGACATTCATGAAAATGACCATTTCAAGGGAGATAAAATATAATTCTGTGAAATGGATTTGCTGGCACTCCTCACCAAATTTAGCACCTATTAAATTATAGAGACCATTATTTCTCTTACGCAGAAAATTCTGAAACTTTCCCTCAAAGATATATTTTATTGTTTTAAGTGGGGTTTAAATCCATTCTGCTCATCGTAATAAATTTCTGCATCTGAATCTTCTTAGCGATACAATAGGTTCGACTTCTACTCCCAAGTGGACTGATCAAATACAATACAACAATACTGTACTGCTCCCATTAAAACCATTAAGGGGCCATTTTGCAGCACAGCAATGCTTTTCATAGGTAAAGTGGTTTGAGTTTTGGATTTTCTCTTAATACATATTGCTGGCTAGTACACTGAGTTTCCCCACCGTGTGTTTTTTTTAACAAGCCAAGATTTGGTCAATGCTTAACTAACCTCACTAAAGACACAACCAAGTGACAGCAAAGTAAATTCCCTTAGAGAGAGAATCCTGGAAAGTCTCGAGTCCTCTCCAGATCACGCCCCCCTGCTTTCCTTCAGGATATCTCACGTCCTAAATTGTGTCAGCTAAATCGCTGGCCTGTGTGATTAACAAAATTAATGTCTGAGCACACAGAGCGATCAGGAAGCGTTCTTTGTTCTCCAGTTGAGTAATGGCACCAGGAGCAGGCAAGGAGGGCATCGCGTCGGCACCTGGAGAGCCTGCAGCCAGGCTTGCTTTCTTACAGCCGGACTTCCTTTGCCTGGCTGCCCAGACTAAGACGGACTAGGGCTAATTAGTCTGAACATTAATGTGCAAAGGGAGTCAAGTCACAGGAAAAAAAAAAAAAGCAGCATGGGAAGAGCGGGGTGGGACGGTGATGCAAAATGACCCAGGAAGTAAGAATGACCTTGCAATATTGGGCCGTGGAACAGCCCTTCTATGGATGCCTGAAGGAAACCACATGTCAGAAGTACTTCCCAGTGGATGTTGTTATAGACGTGTGCACCGGGGAACCATAAGCGTGGAGGGGAAATGAGAGGAAGACCTGTCCCATTTGATCATGGAGCGGGGAGAAGAGGGAAGTATGGGGCCGCACCTTTGCAACCAATTTTTTTTTTTTTTTTCCTTTTTAACATCAAGAAACTTTGAAACACCTGCAGTGGGAAACAAAAGGTTAATTAAAAAGAACCCCAGTCTTTGCACTAAGCTGATTGCTGGGACTCCTGCCAGCCTGGGAAGGTTAAAAAGCTCAAGCATGCGTGGGCTGCGGGGGGAATGGCTAAAATTTACAGCCAGCTCCCTGGAAAGTCACAGTTCAGCTGTTCTCCCGGAGCAGGTGCTCATGGGAGCGGGCCTGTCCCTTTCAAAGCGTGAAGATTGATGAAGCCTTCGCTCTCACCAACTGTAAATATACAACCAGCCTTGTCAGAGCAGGTTTGTAACATCACTTGCTGACAGCAAGAAATTTTTTTTAACCTCCTAAACATATATATACACACACACACACAGAACATGCACAAAAAAAAAAGTACCAAATAAGGTTTTTTTTCTCAGTAAATGGAAAAAAAAAAAGCCAGTAAATAAAACAGTGGGAAATACAGTCATGTTTTGCATGCCTGGAGAGATAATGCACCACGGCACAGAGGCGAGATGTTCGATTCTGCCCTTCGGAAAACAAGATCTTCTTTTGCAATCACAATCAATGGCCAACCCCTGAAAGACAGGCTCAGACTTGGTGGCGGCAGTACTGGAGCCTGGCTACGTTGGGCAAGTTGGACAGGTAGTTACTGGGCATCTGCATGTGGAGTTGAGGCAGTCGGTGGCTTATGAGAGAGGTCACTAGAAAGACAAAAATATCACTATGACACATGGCCCTTCTGTGGCACCTGTAGTGCATTGTGGTCAAAGCACCCTGCCCAAATATGAGTGACTTAAGCCACGCAACTGCTTCCTCGGTGATGGGGTCATATTATTTTCAATCTAAAAAATCCAAGAAATGAAGGCAAAAAGCTAGTTGGGACTTTCAGAGAGACCTAACGGAGTCCATTGGTCCACCCAGCCCGGGGTCACAGTGTGGGCAGCCAGGTCTCTTCATCCCCAAGGACAAGTCAACAAATGTGGGGAGAAGGATGGCTACACATCACCTGATCGTGCTTCAGGAAGTGGCCAGCTGGCTCCCCAGGCTGTTAGCTCCTGAATTTCTGATGGTTTGCTTTTATTTCAGATGTATAATATACATCCATCCAATTCATCTCCTGAGCCAGAATAAATAGGTTCATTTCTCACAGGCCTCAGGACTGAGCTATGTCCTCAGAAGATGACTGGATTAGTAGGAAGTAGTGGCCTTCATGCTCACCTTAGGAAGGGTGTTTTAGCATCTGGTTAATCAAGCAAATGGCTCGGTAACAGGGGTCAGGTCGGGCGATTTCCAAACACAGCTATTAGAGCTCCTTAGGATTCAAAAGGAATCATACAAGAGCAAGATGTAGCATGTGATAAAGCAATCCGGCACCAAGGAAGAAGATGCCTGGGAGAGGGAAAGAGACGCTGCGCTCATGGATTCCTGCCTGCTCCCACCCTGCGCTAGAGGAATGAAACCTTCCTATTCTCCAGCAGGGATTTATTTCCCCTACTGAGGGAACCATCTCCACCACTCAGTAACAAAGAGGCACAGGAAAAGCCAGCAGAGAAAGGCACACTGACAAAACCGGATCCATTGGAATCAATAAGACTCTTTCCACTGACTTTTGGTGCGCGCCGGATCTGGCTTTTGAAGGCCAAACTACTTTGATGGCTGGAAGCATAATTTCTATTCCTGTATGAGTTTCTGTACTGTCCTGTACCAAAATTCATTGATGGCTTTACTGCACCTGTGACCAGATAAAACAAAATAATTCTGCAGTGTTCTTTACTTCTGCTGCAAACTGTCTCTTTTATCATTTCTCCAAGGCAAAATTTCTGGGCAGCTGGATTTTTCTTATCTAATGTCTTAAAATTTCCCAAATTGGGAAAAACATCAGTATTTCCTTTTGCTCCACTGCTTCTGTTTTATAGCTTCCTGCTACTCATTTTTAATAGTTTCCCTGACTCTACTTCATCATGGTTTAACGAAACATTTTTTGTGCACCCCAAATTCCTTTGCAGGTTACACCCTGGATCATTTATTTGAACTCATTAAAAGCCCTTTAGTTATATCTTTTAGCAGTCTCTGCATTTCTGATGTAATCACACTGGGTCTTTCCAGACCTTACTTGACTTTAGATACAGCAAGGATTACTTTCAGTGTTTCAGTGGCACTTGCTGGCAAATGTTTAAAAAAAAGTCATGAGGCTAACATTATATTTGCAAACCATCATGTTATTCAGTCTGCTTGTATGTTATATCCCTTCCCTCAAATCCTTTGACTGACTTGTCTATTTAGATTGTAAGAATTTTAGGACAAGGGCTGTCATTGTCTCTTATTGCCTGTTTGCACAGTACCTCATACAATGGAGTTCGGATCTCAGTTGAGTGTCCCTGGCACAACCATCATAGCAATAACTAGACTTCTTTCTTCTCTAGTGATTTCCCGTGAAAAGTTCTTGGAATGGGAGTGTGTCCACAAAGTGTAAAAATGATAGACAGAGAGAGAGAGAGAGAGACACAGAGAGACAGAGATTTAATTGGCAGTAGTAAAAGGAAATTCATACCAGTCCAAGTTCAGGTACCCATCAGCTTTACCAATACAAATGGAGCAATCCTGCTCAGGGAAAAAGCAGGGAGTCTGCTCCCATCACAGTGAATGACAAAAGTCAAAACTCACACCGGTTTCACTCATAGATTCATAGAGATATTAATAGATGCATAGATTGTAAGAGACTGGAAGGGACCTTGCAAAATCATCGGGTCCAGCCCCGCTGCACTAGGCAAGAAAGACAACTGGGGTTAGGCGACCCCAGCAAGGTGACCGTCCAGTCTCCTCTTGATGTCCAGGGTAGGTGATTGCAAAGTCTGGACACTCACTGTGAAGTTTTTCCCAGCGTTAAGCCTGAAACTGTCTTCCAGGAGTTTGTGGCCATTACTCCTGGTTTTCCCCAAGGGTGCTCTGTTGAACAGCTATTCGCCGAGCCCTTGATGTACTCCCCTGACATAGCAGTAAGCTGCTACCAAGGCCCCACTCAGCCTTCTCTTTTTTAGGCTGAAGAGCCCCAGGTCCCTCAGCCTTTCCTCATATGGCTTGTCTTGCAAGTCTCTGATCATACCGGGGGCTCTTCTCTGGACTCTCTCAAGCTTCTCCATGTCCTTGTTAAAGTGCAGTGCCCAGACCTGGATGCAGTCCTCCAGCTGCAGTCTCACCAATGCTGAGTAAAGCAGAAGAGTCACCTCCTTGGTTTTGCTTGAGATGCATCAATTGATGCACGCCAGAGTACTGTTTGCCCTGCTGGCTACAGCACCGCACTGATGGCTCATGTTCATACTAGAGCAGGATTTGACGCAGAGGGTGCATTATATGCAAAAGCACAATGAAAAGCATGCTCCTCCTGCAATCCAATATTTACAGCCCAGAATTTCACTTGTGCCTTTTGCATGAGCTAAAATGGTTAGAACAATTTTCCTGTCCCATTCAATATTATCCCTCAACAACAGCATTGTCATCCACCTCACCCTTTCCCCGCCTAATTTTATGCAGCCTCCTCCTGATGTTTAAAATTCCCTGTTATTTGCCGGGTTCTGCCATAACTCTGTTATTCCACTGGTACTTCACATGCAAACATGCCACCCCAGTGCAGCAATCAGAGGCCAGGAAGCCTGTGGGAGTGGTGGAAACTGTGAGCTTGGGGGTCTGAACTCCTAGTTGTCTTTCATGGGGAAAGAGATGTAAAAGGCCTTGCTCTCTGGAAATCCACTTAAGTCTCCTGCACCCAACATGGGCTTTTCCCACACAGGAGACAACGTGGAATGCAATTACATACTTACCGGCCTAATCCAAAACCCAGCAATATCAAGGTTCCCATTGATTTCAGGGAGACTTAGACCATCCAAGCTTCCAGTATGCCTAATGGAGAGATTCTCCAAACAAGATCAAAGGCCATTTCTCAAGTTGGTTTCATTCTGAAAACCCCAAAATTGGCTTCAGCAGAAGCTGCTTGAATGCTCAGACATCCCCCCCCCCCAACCACCAGAAAGGCAATTATTGCAAGAGGAAATTAACACAGTTGCCAAAAAGTTTTGAACCTGATGATGCCGCCCTTGGGACCAATGGCAAAACACACATGACTTTTAATGGGAGCAGCAACAGGAGCTTCGTACTCGATTCCATCCTTTTACAAAACCTGTGTCAGGTGGGAGTACAACTCAACGGGTAGCGTGAAGTGCTCAGGTTGCAAATGACACCGCAAAGCATAAGGGAGGATTTTTTTTTCAGTTCAGTTTTCTGTTCCACTGTAAACTTCCCAGTTAGCTCCATATCCCTCTCCCGCCCTTCTTTGTTTTCAACGGTACCATTTCTTCTGCCCATCTTTCAGTCTCCATTTTACATGTTGAAAATACTGTCCTCCTGCTTTTGTGCTTTTTCTGCTGGGTAGACATAGCTCCATTCCTCCCTCTCAGGTCTCTCTCTCACTTAGATAGTTTCCCAGCAGTTCTCAGACTTCCCCATAGCAGAAGCCCCTTCCCCATAATAGGATGCACAATGCCTTGTTGTCACCTAGCCAGGTTCTGGCAGGGATCCTCCCCCCTTTAGCAACATAGGAGGGACATGGTTGCAGCCTCAAACTCAACACCTCTGTTCTAATACCGCTATTGCCATAATATCTAAGGCCGTGACCACACAGTAAACTTATGCTCAGCACTGGTGCCCTTAGGCACCCTGCCAGGCACCAGGTAAGCAGCCTCATGAATCAGAAGCAGTACAGGCACTCAGTGCTACAGGCAGGCTAACCGGCATGCAGGCTAATGAGTCTGCCCCCAGTGCCCTTCCCAACTTTCTTCTCCTGAGCCAGCAATGAAAGCTAGCCACGTAGACCTCTGCACCCATGTTGAACTCCATTGATTTTAATGGGGTCTACCCACAGGCCCATCTGAGAGTAAGACAACAAGTTAAGGCCCTGACTAACTAAGGCCCTTCACATACAATAATAAAGCTTTCTTCTTTTTACATTTCTTTCGATGCTTAAATCTGATCAAGTTGAGCCAGAACTGAACATGAACAGCTACACACTGCTCTGAAGCATGCGGCTTTGCTCTTTTGGCAACGTGTTTATCCTGGAGAAATTGGACTCGTTCTATTTCATTCCTTTCAAACCACACTTCCAATCATTTAAGAAGGGGTTTAATTGAAGATTCAGCTCATAAAAGGTATTGCCGTGTTAAAACGGCATTTTTACAAGCAGTAATTGTGTTAATGGAGTACAATCTACATCGGACAGGCTTAGGAGGGCAAATGAGGCTTGTCCTTGTCTCAGTCTTGAATCCATCCAGCGCTCCCCAAGCCTTCCTCATATCTTAACGATCACTTAGATGTATGGTCTGTAAACGGAGCTGAATTACAAAGCATCATTGTGTTACCAGGGGGACTTGGACAAAGGGCCTCTCGCTTCTAGTGTGGTTTCAAATCCAGGACCAAAAGTTGTTCATATTTTATGGCCTGGGTTGGGCTGTCTTGGGTCATTTCCATCCCTGATGGAATGGCCACCTCTGATGGTGCAACATGGGGGTAGAGAAGACAGACTGAAAGCCGGAGGTATTGTCCATTTCCGCTACAGCTCAAGAGAAGGGTCTATTTCAACAACAATCTCAGCAAAGAGGAGATGGACTGTGGTGCTCGATCCCTTTCTATTTTGGTGGTACTACCCTCAAACTTTGGGGATAAGGGAGGAGAAATGCAAACTTTCCTTCACTCTGCAAAGGCACAGCCTTCCTTTTCCATTCCTCTCCCCTTGATTCCTCCTTTGCAGCAGTAGGACCTGGCCAGTCCTGGTATGGTGCCATGTTGGGCTGCGGGGAGGACGCAGAGAAACACCGTGCATTTTAGATCCCGTTCCACTTGAGCTACATCATACATTTCAAGTCGGACCAACCCGAGCAGATGCCAAGTCCCTCACAGAAGATGCTGAGTGACCTCAACTCCAGTGGAAGATGGAAATTAATCCTATGCCTTTGGCCTTTCACTTTTCACTTAACATAATAAAACTATCCTGGGGGCACTGGCATTAAAAAGATCCATATTGTGTAGATTATCCACATTAATGTAGGTTCCTGGGTTCAGGTTGGCATTGCACGGCTTGTGCTGCATGGCACCCAGAGACAGGCATGTAATTTACCTTTAACAGGAAAATTATTGTACGTTAAATAAATACTAATTGATTATTTAATATATATGCATTGAGGGTTAACAGCTATGTAATGAGCTCCTCTCCACTAGCAGAGCTGTTAAACATCAATTAATATGGGTTTCATAATCAATTGATATTTAAAATGCCTTAAACTTTCCTACTTAGATTGTGAAGTAGCCGATACCACTAGCTTCTTTTTGTGGGGGAAAAAAAGGGGGGAGGGGAAGAGGCGGAAATATTTGTTGGAGGATTTACAACCAAGTAAAAAGTCACACCCCTGTTATATCTCAGCTGCCTCGTATCAGCTGGTATTCACCAGACCCAGAAAGGCGATCTCATCACATCATTAAGTGCTATGGTCTGTCTGACAACTGCACTCGTGCACATGCTAAAAAGATACACAATGGGTGGGGTTCAGCCGCCCTGCTAAATATCTATGGTGGTTAGTCTATAAAGGTGCAAATCTACTCTGCCAGCATCTTAGTGACCACGATACAGACCCAACCTGCAAATGGAGTATTAGGCAAAGGAACGAGCCCCAAGACCGAGTAGGGTCCAATGTTATGGTAGGTACTCACTCACACCAATGCGTCCCCATCCCCTCCCACTCAACAGAATGGGACTATTATGGTTCTGGAGCAGAGTTTTGCCATTCCAGTTTCTCCTGTAACTCATGATCTGAAGTTTTCCCATGCAGTGCCATGGGAGCCACGTCAGGACCCTACACCCTGGCTCTGATCTGGCACTTAGCCATGTTAGTCTGAAGTCAGGCAGAGCACAGGGCAGATTCGTATCTCTGCATTAACCTAATTGCTTCCTAATCTCTTTGACAGTGCTACAAATCAGGATTAACTTGGTGCAAATCAGCAGGGCCCAATTCCCCAGTGACTATCTTGGGAGGCAAGTATGTGCAACAAGATATTAAACCAGAACAATGACATTTTACTCCAAGATTGCACAGTGTAAAAATGACTACACAAGGTCGAGGGCAGCCGAGAATTAGCCCCAAATTAATCTACCAGTGTGAAACTGGTTATGTCAAACCCAAGCCTCTGAAATGGGAACAGTCC